CGGTGGCAGGCTTTATTGCTTTGCGTTGCCGAGACCCTGTCATCCGCAGGGGCGCAATTCGTTTGATGCGGCTTCACTCTAGGACTGAAGGCATCTGGCAAAGCGCCGTGGCAGCAGACCTGGCAGAATTTATCATGACCCGTGAAGAGTCCGAGAGTACTATGAACCATCCCCGCAGGTGTCACGATACCCCCGAAGAAAGTCGGCTTCAGCTTCTCTCATCCAATTTTCTGTCCTATGAAGAGAAAAGCAAGACCTTCCAGATGTGAGCCAACATGCACGTTGCTAACTTTAATAACTCACTAACGATGGCAGTGCTCACGGGGTCTCGTCCCCTGATATAATCAAGATCAGGGTTATTCGATCTGGACTAGAGCCGGCAGTCCAAGGGTTTCGGATTTTCTGGATTGACCGACGCTCGGGACATAGCATTGCTATGCTCGCAGACTGCACTCCCAGTGACGCCTCAGGTCTCTTTCCTCAAACCATCGAAGCCGAGTCGAATCTTTGGCGAGAGATTGACGGTCCGAAATGGGCTGAGTATCTCGAAAGATCTGCCGCATCCCATATTTGTGGCAATGTCAAAGGGATCCAGGGAGGCCACCAGTAAACGATGGAGAATAGCTGGAGATATGCCGAAACGACCACCTACAGAACATAATTGCCTGCCACCCGCCAGCTGCTACCCGCCAGCTGCTTTGCTGGACAATTTCTAGCTCTGAACCTTGAAGATCTCTCGGCGTATTTGTGTTGATCCTAGACCGCAATTGAGATGCGCGCGTTTGGATTGATCCTCAAACAACACCATCGAGATCAGATCAAGTCAGCAGTGAATCCTTGCGAAGGGCATCAGCCATGCATATACTCTGGAGATCATCTAGGATCCACCGTGACCACCATGGTTGGATCACGTGAAAAGTTCTCCACCATACAAAAGTCGCGAGGCTGGGCTGGGCGGGGGCAAGGCTGGACTTTGGGCAACACGTTGGCCTGCAACTTGGAGCAATAACAAGTCCTTTTCTGTCGTGGTGATGAATAATTGATTGCCGCGAATGACTTGTATTTGTTCTTCTCCATCCAAGTCTTACAATGGTGGAAACACTGATTCAACATTGGGTGGCAAAGCAGGGATGATCCAGGCCCCCAATTTCCCAGCCTCGTCAACCCTCCATGTGGCTGGGAGTCCAATCTCCAAAAATGGTCTCAGAGGACTCGACCTGCAAACGCCGACCCAAGGCAAAATGCTCTAGACCTGACTTTCTATTCACAAGTGCTACTGTCTGTCCGTCTGTCTGTCTGGCCCCTTGTCTTTCTGTCCAGACTATATCGTAAAAATCCCACATCACCAAAGGTCGACTCACTGATTGACACCAAACTTCATCGCGTCCCCTCCAATTCAAACCTACTCAGTTATCTCGTACAATGCCTACGATCCTCACTCCGCAAGGATGGGTCAAAGTCGCACCACCACCCCCTCGTAAAAGACCTGTGAACCACGACCCAAAGGCCGTCTTTCGAGGACCGCTGGCATACCTAGCCTGCCAGAGGAGCAAACCTCCTCCCCTCAACATTGGCGGTGGAGGGAACGTCAAAGGCAGAGCGGAATTCCCCTATGACCTGAGTGCGAGCCCCGAGAAATTGAGACGGCAGGGGGAGGTGAATGCGCGCTCGAAGGCGGACAGGAGTGTTTCTGCTCCGGTCATGCATGGCGGTTTGCATCCCCGAGACGACGATTACGACGAATACGACGACGAGGTCGAGGATATTCCCGCACCGGAGGTCCAGAGGCGTCGGCCGCGGACGCCAAAGTCGATAGAGCAACCAAAGCCCAAATCGAAGTCGAGTCCACAGTCCCAGTCGAGATCATCTCAACACCACAGTCACCACCATAACGACCGTCCCGAGCGCCGTTCTCATACCAGCTCGCACTCCCGCGCATCATCCAGTCCCAGCTCGAGTTCGACTTCGAGCTCAAGCGCGAGCTCCAGATCAAGCGCTCCGAGCTCGCGCTCCAGCGCCTCGAGCGTGTCCAGCGCACACTCGACAAAGTCCTACCACCGACCCGCCCCGCCAGGGCACAGCAAACGCCCATCTGTGCCCGCGGCCGCGCCAGCAGCAAACCCGTACTACTCAATGCCTCGATACGACCACTACCCATCGCCGCCGGGTTCGATGCCTATGCCCATGCCTATTCCTATGCATGTGCCGATGCCTATGCCAGCGGTGCCGGCGGCGCAACCAGTCTCGTCTGGCAAAGGCAGTGGCGGCGCAAGGAGCCTGTCGTATAGCTGGTATAATGCCACCACGCCGTTGAAGCTGTGAGAGACTGCTTTCCGTCCTGCGGTCTCTCTATTGGGTGTTACTGTTTTATCTCCCTCACTCTTGACTACCGGGTATTTATGAATGGAAATGGGTCTGGGACTAGGACTAACTAGGACTTCTTAAGGGATCTCTCTCTGTGTGTGTAACTAGATAATTAGCTTTTCCAATGCAATTCAATGTCTTTTGTCCTCCATATATCTATCTCTTCGGTTTCTATTCGAGTTTATTTGACGATGGCTATCTAGACAAGCGAGCGGTGGGGCGTTGATGGTATAACTCGTACCTATCTGCCCGGTACATTACATTATATTACATTACGAGGTAAGTTTTGTTTTTGTTCCATCTTGAATTCTCTATCTAGGTATGGGTTTGATTATAGACTCTGTACTGTACCGCGTACAAGCAAGGCATGACGTACATGTAACTGTCGTCTTGCCTTTGTCTCGGATGCTTGCTTCAAATCTCCCTGATGTTAAAAAACATATGGCCGATAGGAAGCTTTTCTAGGCATAAGATTGATTTGGATTTTCCATGTCATTTATCCGACTCAATCAACGTGCGTAAATATGTACTCGGAACATTCCAAATTGTGCATGAATCCATCTCTACAAAGTCCCTTTTCCTCCGTAATATAGACTCGTGGATATATATGTAAGCAAGAAACCAACCCCAATTCATCAAAACCAGCCCTTCCATATGTGTGGGTATACCGTCGTTGCGCTCGTCAATGCCAAAGTCCTGCCCTCTTCTCATCCCTCATTGCGTAGTCATGTAAACATTGTCAAATATTTCGCCATCTCTCCGACAAGATAACAGAAGATTCCGCGGGGCTCAATCAGATCGTCTCTCATTCTCGCGTCAGTCTTCCACGACCACAATCTTCTGCGCCCTCCTCGTATGTCTCACAGTTCTGACCTGCCTGACAGGCGGGGGTCTGACAAAGGTCTTTTGCGTCTTTGTGACCATAACCCGTGTTCCCGGGTAGTTCCCTCCGCCGACAAAAGTGAGATTCGCAGCAGGTCTGCGGGGGTAAGGGTCGATGACAACCACAGGCGGTTTGCGCCGCCGCGAGTGACTGGAAGATGACGAGGAGGAGGACGAGGATCCCGCATAGTATCGTCGGGGCCGGTAGCTGCGGAACCAGCAGATACATAGAAGGACGAGTAAGAGAACGCCGAAGAAGGCGCCGAGCACAATGCCGCCCACAACGCCCGGGGCCAGGCCCTGATGGTCGTGGTCATCGACGACAATGACACCCGCCGGCGTCGTTTCGATAGGGATCAAGCTGGTCGTGGTAGGGGTGACAACGATAGGCGTCGGACACCACGATGAGGCAGAGGTAACTACCCATTCACAGGCACAGTCCGTCGTCGCGGTATAGCTCGTGATCCATGCAGATTGTGTCGACCAACTTGTCGCCCATTCCTCATAGGATGATGTGGTCCATTCTTGCGCGGGAGTCGATGTGCTCCAGACCTGCTGCGTGACGCTCGTCCAGCTTTCCCACTCAGTCTGCGCAGTTGTCGTTTGCACGACGGCCGACCACTCCGATTGCGGGTCTGGCGACCTCTGCTGGATCAATGGCATGGAGATGGAGGGAAATGAGGGCGAGGGAATAGATGGGTGATTGGATGATGTTCACGGGGTCGAAATTGCATCTGCGCAAGGACACAGCATTGGGAGGTGAGCCGCGTAAAGGTGTCTGAGGAAAGGAAACAAAGCACTTGCAAACCTGCAGTCCAAGCTCCTCGAGGGTGGGATTGGTACCGAGTGGTTTGGGTAAGTAGTTGGACTGGATCAAGAGCTGACGAACGCACGGACTTTTGAGACACACTTGCATGCATGATGCATGTCGGCCATGCGTGGGCATATGATGAATTCTCTTCCTCTCACCACTACGCATGACGATGGCGGCGGCGTTTGCACCAGCCTCCTATGTTTTCTCTGAGAGGGGAGTGCTGTTTTTGATCAAATGCAGGCGGCTGGAAGCTTTTTAGGGAAGGAGGGGCAGGGATTGTGCCTTGTGGGTGGGGCTTCAAGCTGATGCCGGGAGCAAATCGGCGGATGAGGGGCGGGGGCTGCAATTGAAGCTCCTTATAGGTGGGGGGCAACAGTAATGGTAGGCATGGCCATCGGCTTGGAAGGCTCCGCACAGCGGGGACGGGATGGCGGGGCTTCGGTAGGCGTGGCGTGGTAGGGCTAGTGGTCTTGCCTGAACCCTTTGCCGACTATTGCCAATTAACCAAGTTAGGGCCTAGAAGCTCGTCCCAGAACTATTATGTACCAGACTTGCCAAGGTCTCTAGAGGTACATGTACAAAAGTCTACTTCTATTGGGGCACCTGCGACATCTCCTCGTCCTCAGCCTCAGTGCCCTGCATGCCATTTCAAGTTCTACTGTAAGGCTGCCGAATGATAAAACACCACATACAAAGTACCATCCCTCATGTGGTTGGCTCAGTTGCACACGTCACTTCATGTCGTGTCACTGTGAAAGTCTGAAACCATTCGTCCTTTGATGCAGCCTGCCTGGTGAACGCATGTGGAAGCTCTTTAACCCCCATACTATGCTTGTTGCGCACGCAGGATGTTAATATCGCAGTTTGACCTGTAAGTTTCTTCAGTCTGCCTCTCTCCTCTTGAATCGCGTCTTTTGCTATGCCGTTTGGTGCCGCAGCCATGGATATTGCCTACAAAAGGTATGTTTATCGACGCATGATCTCCCTCGCCGGCTTTGATTTCTCATGCTTGACAGCTTTGTCGATTCGGAACCTTTTAAATTCCTCGTTGGTCCAACAGCAAAACCTTTCTACATGCATGGCGGACTTGCTACAAAGCTGTCTGACCCCATGGCCGCCCTGCTCGGAGGAGGCATGGTGGAAGCAACGAATCGATATGCAGTGTTGAAGGATACGGACGAAGACACTTTTGTTCGCGTCATCCAATTCGCCTATACGGGTGACTATGCTGTCGCTGAACCGGAGCCAGATCACAATCCCTCCGAACCAGATAATGTAGTCGACGAGTCGTTCAATAACCTTCGCCATGCACATCCATCAGCATTTGAGGACATAGTTGCCGAGGGGGAAACCACTGAATCAGTGCCCATTGATCCAGAGCCCACTGAAGAATATATAGAAGAGGAGGCGGTTCCGTATTGTGAGTGGTGTGGGAGAAACCCCTTCCGAAAGAGAAATCACAAGTGGGTCGAGTCGGGCAAAACCAAGACTGTCGTTTCGAAGGCCCAAGAGGCGTGGGACTCTTTCAAGAAGAAAGCGGATATCAAGAAGACGATGGAGTGGAAGTTGGAAGTCAACGAAGATCAACATCAGAATTACACCCCTGTCTTTCTGTGCCACGCCAAACTGTACGCCTTTGCCGACCAGTATCTCATTGAGCCCCTTCGGGGACTTGTCCTACAGAAGCTCCGACTCACGTTGTCAAGATTCAAGCTGCATCAACAGCGGGTCGGCGACGTTGTCGAGTTATTGAAGTACACCTATGCAAACACTCCGTGTCGTGACCCGAAGATTGATCAATTGCGCGATCTGATCTCTGACTATCTGGTCTGCCACATTGAGAAGATTGTACACCACGAGGAATTCATAAAGTTGCTTGATAATGGTGACGTGGCAAAGGACTTCCTTCCCAAGCTGGTGGCACTACGGTTGGATTGAGATAGGAATGGCTGGTTATCATGGCGGGTAAAAGGGGGAAAGGGGAAAAGGGTTCTCGACAGCTTTCCAACAAGAGACAAACATTGACCAGAGGCACCTCCGTCAACGGGAGAGAATCCAATATTATTACCCACATTCATGCTTGTGATACCTGTTGCGCGGGCCTCGGACCTCACGTAGCATTCAGCCAACTTTCCCTACACCGCCGCCCTGTAATGAAACGCGAGTCTCAATCGTACCATCTAGATGAGGTATATCTGGGTGGTCCCCTCTGGTCAAAATTATCATTCATTGTGCCTGTCCTGCCCGGTGGTAATTCTGACAATTTCCTACCATTTCCCAGTGCCACAACAGTGATTGGATTGAGCACATTCACGACATTCGGGAGCCCTATATATTTTGTAACTTGAAATGGAACCTTAACAAAGTAAAAAAGAGAGAGAAAGATCTTATCCCTTCACTGACTACGCGTGACGCCAGGGGCTTCTTTGCAGACTAAAATCATGCACTATCCACATCACCATCCTGAAACCCAGTTGGGACGCTGTAAGGGTCGGCAATTGGACCTCTCTTGACAGGCGAGGCATAGACGGTCACAAACGTATTGTTGGAATGGCCCGGCAAGATTCCAGTGCGCAAGAAGCGCTTCGCGATCGCGGTCGAGGATTGAGCGGGCACTATCGAAAACGAAGGGCTCGGTTAGTTCTCACTAATCAAGGTGAAACGTTGGGCAATAGACGGCACTTACGGTTGAATGAAACATGGTCATCGCCATGCCGAACAACCAGATGACCATTCGGAATGTCGGGCATTGTCAGCGTGGTCCATTCTGTTGGTGCGCTGTGTCATGTGAAGCAAGTTTGTCAGAAGATTGCCTTTGAGCTGTAATGTTCTGCGCCTAGATCAAAACCTACCTGCCATCGAAATCCGCCGTGACGACCAGCATGGGGATTTCCGTGCGGATTGGTACCAATGGCGTTGTGTCGAACGGCCAAGCTGAACAAGCAAGCTGGACTGTGTCAGCGTCAAGTTCAACAAAACACCCATTAGTAGTGACAAAACTGACTTGTGTTAACCAAGTTGTTGTTTGACCGAAGTTGTTGGTATCAAGCTATCATCAATCTTGGTCAGCCCTTCGTCCTATAGTTGAATCAAGCGGCTTGAGACACAGTTCTTACCGCTAGACCAGCGTTCAAAGATTTTTGAAACCCAGAAAACGTTGTGGTCAAAGCTGTGTATCCGTCAGACCAGCTATAATTTATTCGCAGAAGGACACCCACGCACGAGAGTCACCGCACTCCAGAACATAAGCAACAATGCTCCCGGCCGTCAATGCTTGTTGAGGCAAAGCGTCTAAGGCGCTGATATTCATCGACAACGCGGCAATCAAGTCAATAATCTGAGGAAAGTCAGGCTGATCTTGGAGCAGCCCGGTGATGGTTGCTTGAATGGCCCAGACAGTGTCGATAGATGAGTTGGAGGCTGTCTTAATGATTTCACGGTATGCCTGACAAATGTTAGCGAATAATCCTGTTAGACACAATCTCTGGAGACTATGTCGCCCACTTCTGGAACACTGCCTTTGCCTGCACCACTGAAGGGGCACGACGAGTTGTTCTGGCAATATGCATCTGCTCTTAGTAAGACCCGATTTGCGGCCGCCATCTCATGTTCGGCTTGCTGAGCAGGACACTGCAAAGTGGTTATTGGTTGTCAACGCAAGCTACAAACCTGATGCACTTACAACTCCGTGCGGCACCACCGCGTCCAGCACAAAGCGGCCCACAGAATGGGGATATGTTTGAGCGAACTGTAAAGCTCGATAACTCCCACTGTGGTCACCTGCAGTTAGTTGGAGTCGTCGCATCCAGGAGTACAAGGGAGACTCGACTCACTAAGAAGCGCCGATAAAGTGGATTTTCTCGTAGCCTAGGGCCTGACGGATCTGATTGTAGTCCTGAACAACCTCTCGTGTGCCGACATGCCCAACGATTCCCGGAGGCGAACTTGAATCGACCCACGACTGTATGGCAGCGGCAGCAATCTCTTTCGCAGTATTAAATTCATCCTGAGACGTCGGGCTTTTGATTGTTATGCTTCGGGACTCTCTCACAAAGGATAGGGGGAGGGACTCACTAGGGGTTGAACAAGGGCAGAACTGTGTCCAGCGAAACGTTCAGGGGATTGGAGCTGTAGGTGCCACGAATATCCATCACTAGGAGAAAAGGATCAGTTTCAGTTGACTAGAAGTGGCCGGGGATGAGTACTCATCAAGTCGTAGTCTGTCAAGTCCGAGAAATCAGGAATGAATGGGGAGGTAATGTTGAGTGCAAGATTCCACGCGTGTACGACTGCATTATCCGAGCCACCTGGACAGCTTATATTGGGTCAACATTGTTTGCAGACAGACACCTTTTCCGAGGATAGACGAACAAGAAGATAACGCCTTTTGGCTGAACCGGTCGGTGCATAGCCAGACCCAGAGTGATATTGTTGCTCTCGCTTAGTGGCTTGGAGTAATCCATTGGCACAACAAGCCGGCCGCATTTGAGCGTCGAGGGGAGGTGTTGAAGATCAACGCCGGTGGCATTGAAAACATCGCTGGGTGGAACGTGCTCGCTACAGTCAGTCCAGAGGATTTCTGGGTGGGCTGCAGCCAAGGTAATGGAGAAGCAGAAGAGCGCCGTCGCCCATTCATAGGAGGTAGGCATTTTGGGACAAGGAGCCAAGGTTGGAGAAGTGATATGAATAACGGTCCGAAGGATTTTATATCTTGTCAGTGCACAAGGCGACTACCCTTGTCCTGAGGAACGACAGAAACACTGTGTTAGAGCCCGTGAATACGCGTCCCATCATCTCGGATGCGTACATTCTTCAGGTGAAGGCATTGCGAACAGTCCAATTGCGAGAAGGGATGTGCATAGGTCAATCTGCTTCAGTGACGGAGGGGTGAAGCTGACTCGCCTCGAGTGTAGGGGATGCGGCGGAGTCAACCATTCCCGCTACTCATTATAACTGAGGCATTTGAACACCCATGGTGTCGAGTGAATCTCGCGAGGAGAGTAGTGGCACGGGGCCGTGGCAGTCTGCGAAGATGCCTTTTCAGGTTGAGATCGACAATCTCAGTGCGTTGGCGTGGTGCCTGAAAATAACCGACGAGGCTGCACCGTAAAGGTGGTCTTTGTATGGACTGGCTCGGGAGTCACGCCCGTGAAAGGCTTAGCGCTCTGGGCGTGCCAACTGGCGGCTCAGACCCACACCCCGCCAGCCTCCCGAAACATCAGCCTGATGGCCCCTGGATTGGGACGAGGGGACGATTCTCGAACATTACCTATTACCTACTACTCTCCCTACCCGAAGATCTGAGCACCAGGCACCCGCCTCACCGCATCCTCTCGTGCCCCCTCGCCGTCACACCCATGGCCGGGCCAGTAGCGCCACAGCAGAGGCAAAGAGTGCTGTTTAGCCCCGAATCTTCCTGCAGAACGATTGTTCGCTTGTCGCCTATTGTGCCAGCTTCTGTCATGCCTTGCACTTTATTCTGCGATGCCGTCGACCAAGCAAGTCAAGCATCGTGCATATACAAGAACGGGCTGCAAAACCTGCAAGTGAGTTCCATCCGTTTTGTCAAAATTTAATCCATTGCCTGAAGCCGACACCTGGTCAGCCTCGCATGTACCGAGATTCAGCGGGCGGTGGCTGTAGGTTGTGCCTTTGTACACGAAACCACTCCCAGCACCCCTCATTGACAACAATCGCAGGATTCGCAAGGTCAAATGTGACGAAACGAAGCCACAATGCCAGCGGTGCCTAGGGCGCGGTCGAACCTGTGATGGATATGTCGAGGTTGCAACGGAACGTGGAAAAACGGGATTTTTCACGTTTGTCAATTACCTAAACCACGGACCGTCGTTGTCTGAAGCCCTTTTTCTACAAGACACACGACAACGACGGGCGTTCGAATTCTACCAGCTGCGATCGTCTCTGGAATTGTGTGGTCCTTTTCAGGAAGAGACGGAAGTCTGGAACAGGCTGCTACTGCAGGCCGCCTACCATGAACCCGCTATCCGTCATGCTGTCTGTGCTCTAGGAGGCTTTCACCAAGAATATGAAGATGAGGCTTTGCATGCTTCGGGGTTTTTGAGGACTGCCCTGGAGCAATACTCGTCCGCGATCAAAGCTCTCGTCGCAGCAAACGAGGACCTGAGATGCATGGAGGTGACCTTGATAGCTTGCATTGTGTTCACGTTCTGCGAGCTTCTACAAGGACATCTCGGCTCAGCCAAGGCTCATGTGTACAGTGGTTTGAAACTTCTCGACACGTATAGAGCCGTCTCTAGTGAACTGGACCGAGTCGGAGTATCAAATGCCAACCAACAGCGACCATACTTTCCGCTCTCCATCCTGACCATTTTGTTTAGACGCCTGGAACGCCAGCTGGCAGAAATTGGGCAACAAACTGTGCATATAGCTCGCCACTCTCTAGGTGGTCCGCCTCCCCATCTACCAGATCGGTTTCAGTCCATAGCAGCTGCCACTGAATCCCTCGAAATCATCGTGGATCGGCTCACCGGAGTGACACTGGAAGCGACCACTAAACAACTGGACAGGTCTTCTAGTGAGATGGCAGTGATACGTGACACCTGGTACTTGCCACTTTCGCAACAACTCGATCATTGGAAAAAGGCCTTTGATAGGATTGTATCTCCAGACTCGATACGCAGTCCAGCCCAAGCGAATCACCACCGTGAAGCAGCCCTGATTCTCCGACTCTGGTACCTTGTGAGCTGCCTCTTTCTACTGCTAGATTCTCCGAACGAGGTCATGGACTATGATAGATGCATGCCGGTATTCCAGTCCATGGTCGATGTCGCTGAAGAATTGCTGCATGTTCAGAACGCTGGCGGACATGAATCGACATCATCGACCACCAAGCCGCGGAAACGCAAAAAGACAACGGCTCCCATCATCGAGGCATTTGTGGGCCTGAAGCCCAAATGCGACCCATGTGAACTGGAACGTGTGGAGGACAACGACTTTGGCACATTACGGCCGTCATACTTCTCCCGTCTACCGATCTTGAGCAAAGCGGTTTTCACATGCACAGCCTTGTCCCCGGTACCTCCAGTTTTTCTGATTGCCACTCGATGTCGTGAGCCAAAGCTACGACGTCAGGCATTGCAAATTCTGTCCAAGTTCAATCGGCGTGATGGTTTCTGGGACTCAAACCTGGCTGCCGTATGTGCTGAAGCCATCTTGTACTCGGAGGAGCTTCACACGACCGATTTGCACGACCAAAGAGGGAAAGGCGGGATTCTCATGGAAACTGGATCTGCGCAGCAAATTCCCGTTACTGCTCGAATATACGGCATCCAGCCACAATTTGGTGAAGGGAGATCGTTGACTCTGGAGTTTTTGAAGCGTCACCGCAGGCCAAGGTTGAGCAGCATTCGGAAATGACTCACCAATATTAGGGTTTATCTGGCACTTATACTCCGGACCGAGTACATGTCTGTTCGCTCAACTGCGAAACGATGTACAGAATATGCTAAACAGTCTGATCCCTAGTTGGAATCATATTCATCAATTCACTAGATTGCCATGGCCATCTTACCAGCCAGCCCAAATATCACCATTACACCAGAACCCCATTGCGACCCATATCTATCTAGTCCATATAGTGGTGTATAAGGTGCATCGTCTGCTCTTTCAGGCAATCGGTATCACCCTCGTCCTAAAGAGGGTTAAGCTGGCTGGGTGTCGAATTACCTCGTCTTGGCGCGGAGTCGAGAATACCAAGGGTGAGGCGGCGCATCTGACTTTCTTTGATGTCTACGTCAGTGGATCTGATCTTAGAGCGATTGAAACCCCCGCGCTGTTCTCCGCCTTTGGAATATCGCTGTGAACAAAAGGATCGAGTCTGACATTTTTTCCTCACCTTCACAATAGACCTCCATGCACCAGGTAAGGTACATTTACAGCCCTACTGAAAACTAGCTACAGCCTTCATCCGATTTCCGACACCATTTTCTGAACCCATCAAAAGATGGCGCCCTCGAGAATCTCGCCAGATCCGCCGTCCTCAGAAACACCCGTCATGGGCCTCACGCCCAAACAGGTCGCCTCGTTCCAGCGCGATGGCTACCTCATAATCCCGTCATACCTGTCACGCGAGACGTGTCAGAACCTCCTCTCCAAGACGCACCAACTGCTGAGCGAGTTCCCGCTCGAGGACCACCCGATGACGAAGTTCACAACGGGGACGGACGACTCGGGCAAGCCGACGGACAAGACGCACGTGGGGGATGACTACTTCCTGACGTCGGGAGACAAGGTGCGGTTCTTCTTCGAGGAGGACGCGTTCGACGCGGCGACGGGGACGCTGAACAAGCCCAAGGAGAAGGCCATCAACAAGATCGGACACAACCTGCACGGGCTGGTGGCCGAGTTTGGCGCCGTGTCGCACGCCGGCGAGGTCGGGCGCCGCAACGCCGCCATCGCCCGCGACCTAGGCTACCGCGACCCGCGCCTCCTGCAGAGCATGGTCATCTGCAAGCAGCCCGAGATCGGGGGCGCGGTGCCGCCGCACCAGGACAGCACGTTCCTGTACACACACCGGCCGTCGGCTGTGGGGTTCTGGATCGCGCTCGAGGACGCCCGCGCGGAGAACGGGTGTCTGAGCTTCGCGCCGGGCAGCCACCGACGCGCGCCCATCCGCGACCGCTTCGTGCGCAGGGAAGTCGACGGGTCCGCGGGGACGACATTTGAGGGTGTGCTCGCCGAGGACGGACAGTGGCCGCGGGACTTTGAGCACGAGACCCCCTCCGACAGAGAAGAGGAATACGTCCTGGGCGAGGTCGAGGCGGGTAGTCTGGTGCTCATCCACGGCAACATCCTGCACAAGAGCGAGAAGAACACGAGCCAAAAGGGCCGCATCATCTACACATTCCACCTGATCGAGGGCGAGGAGCACTACGACGACAAGAACTGGCTGCAAGTCCCTGGCGGGCCTGGGGCGTTTACGAAGCTGGACGGGAAGTCATAACCTACGGGGAGAAGGTAGATAATCCGGGGGAAAGGCATGACCCGTTTCTCTACCTAGGTGGTCAGGGGAGAGAAAACAATTCCAAGTGTCTCGCCTTGTTCTTTTTCTTACGCATGTCCTTGTCTATTGTGCCAGACGTCCAGACGTTCAGAGTGTCTTTGTCGAATTTCCCACCGCATCTGCATCTCTCTGTCAGGTAGGTACATACTTGTAGCTTCGCTCTACCTACCCCCGACTCCCCAAATATGATCAAACCAGACCAGACCAGACCATGACCCCGTTCTCGTTCTCCATTCTTGGAGCGAATCTAAGAACCAGCATCGAGCACAAGTTCATAAAAAAATTGACCATGAGTTATTTCCAACCCACATCCAGAGCACGTGCAGGGGCATTTAAGAAAAATTTCGGAATATATATCAGACGAAGAAACGGCGCATCCGAGTCGTTTTATCGTTTTTTTGGTCTCTTTTCCCCCGCCTCGGAGATAAAACCCCCCAATGGCCTGCCTAGAGACATCGTGTGTGTGTGTGTGTGCTTAACATGCAGAAACCCAAAAGACCCCAGTCCCAGGAAGCCAGCCAGCCAGCCAGCCAGCCATATACCCATCGTATTTCATTGGGCAGGGCACAGAGAAAAACTGCCGGTTACTCCATGTTGTCCGTTTCCCGATTTCGCCTCCTGCCTCTTGCCCGCAAAAGTCCTGCTTGGTGACGTATGTACGACGGTACAGATCAGAATTCATCACCCATTTCCTAAAACTAGTACCACCCAAGTACTACGGGGTATAATAATGACAGGAACGATTATTAGTACCTACCTACCTACCTAGGTACCTTACCAGACCAAACCAGCCTACAAGCCTGCCACTTACTTACCAAGGTAGTACATAGTAGGGGAAATTCCCCCGTGGGTGACGACTTCCTTTCCTCTTTTAGGGCAACATCACATCCCATCCCATTGATTTCGCTTTTGCTTTATTTTAATTTTTTTTTGGCCAGATATTCTTATTCCTTTCTTTCCTTGTCAATAGGACAGGATAGACTGACAGTTTTCAAAATATCTTGTTCTAAAGATTGACACCGCTTCAGCATCAGGTCAAGTCCTAATTATCACTCCCGCAACCTTGGTTCAAGTCTCGCCGTGTCTCTAACCCCTCCATGATGTCTCGACCACAACTCCAAACTCGCCCCTCGAGCATCGTCGCACAGCGCAAAACAATCATCCTCGTCTCCGGCGGAAATACAGGAATCGGCTATGAAATCGTCAAGAGGCTCGCCGGCGACAGCCCCAACAACCATGTCTTGATGGGATGCCGCGACACCCACAAGGGCGAAGAGTCGGTGGCGAGCATGGGCGCCCCCATCAACGTCAACCCCATCCAGCTCGACATCACCGATGACGAGTCCATTGAGCACTGCTTCCTGGCCATCCGACAGCATTTTGGGAGGCTTGACATCCTGATCAACAACGCCGGGACGGCCGCACAGCATCTACCCCAGGACGCCACAGTACGGCAGAAATTCGACCTCTGCATGAACGTCAACGTCACCTCGACTGCCGTCCTCACCGACAAACTATTGCCACTACTCGAACAGTCCAAGTTGCCCAAAATCATTTTTATCACTTCCACCCTGGGATCCATACAGACCACTCTAGATCGTGGCATAATGTTCAAGGGACCCTGGTACAATTCGAGCAAATCCGCCGTGAACGCGCTCGCCGTATACTACGCCAAGCTGTGCCCGCAATGGAAGGTCAACACGGTGTGTCCAGGGTATCGTGCGACAGGTTTGAACAATGCAGACGTGAACAAAGAGGGATTGCATCCAAAATTGGGAGCTGTCAGGGTTGCCGAGTTGGTGGCGCAAGGGCCTGATGGAGTAACGGGGACATATTCGAATTCCGAGGGTGAGATACCTTGGTGACTTGTGAGGAGGTTTCTCATGGGAGAAGATTCTCGCGCTCTTCGGCATCTTCGGGAGTCTCAGTGTATCGATTACTTGCTCCTCTGTGCGTTAGATAGCTGGACAACTGAAAACTCCAATGACAGCACATGCCGGCGCAAAAGCCGATGGCATCGTTTTTAAACGCGATAAGCAGGCCAGCTGTCACAAGCATCACACTCCATCTTTGCTTCTGTTCTTCGTCTGTGATGTCGGTGTGTCTTGCGCGTGACGCTTCTTTGCCCAGGTCTCGCGCCCGCGGCGTGTTCAGACTCTCTCCGACACTAGCGAGCTCCAGTCCAGCCGCGATGATCATGACCGAGAGGAGTGCCAAAGGGAATCTATGAAGGAGATCTGTAAGGCTCTCGCCGAACAGAATGCCCAGGAGGAGCTTGAAACACCCGAGGAAGATGATACTGGCGCCCGAGCGAGCGCCGAATCGGTACTGTGCCGCCAACCCGCCGGAGCCGTGGCACACGGGCATGGCTCCGAACCAGCATCCAAAGAGATTCATGGCCGCGACACTGAGCCCGATCGCCGTGACCGAGGGGGTTTCAATGTCCGGGAGGAGATCGGCGGCCAGGTGGGCGACGGCGATGATAGAGTTGAGTGTGGTCAGGGGGAGTTGGCCGATTCCGGCGTCGAGGATCCCCGTTTTCCACTCCTTTCCGGAGGGGGCTTGGGTGTAGGGACGCCACATTTGGAATCCTGGAAGGTGGTGTTTGTCGTTGCCTGTGATTTGGATCAAGGCGAACACGACGCCGACGAGGAACAGGATCAGGGCATAGGGCGTCCGCGGGCGGAGATTGATTGCGAACAGCGCGATGAAGGCCAGGGTCATCCATATGTAGTTGTCTGCCCATGACGGCCTAGTCCACGACAGGGACGACAGCGCCTTGGTGCCCGCCGCGATGATCAAACTCAGCCCGGCGCCCACCTGGATCCCCTTGACCACGGGGATCGGAATGACCCGTGTGAACCACGACAGGATCCCCGTGACGCTGAACAGCAAGATGCAGGTCGAGACGAAGATGCCCGCCGCGGCCGTCTGGCCTGCCGTCAGGGACTTGAGGATCGCGACGGCGGCGATCGCTTTCATCGGCTGCACCGGAAGGGGGATGCCGAAGAAGGCCCCCGTCAAGATGTTGTACACGCCGGTGAAGATGAGCGTGGTCGTCAGGGAAATCTGGTGGCCTTCGGCCAGGGCGATCACAATTGGTAGGAACGTGCCCAAGTCGCCGAGCGAGCCCGAGATCTCGTTCCATGGCTGTCGCCGAAAGGTCGACCAGTTGTGGACGGCGACGTGCCGCAGGCGGGATTGGCTCATCGTGGGTTTGGACGTGAAGACCGGTTGGTGCCCGTCTTAATTTCCAAAGTCATGGAAGAGCAGAGAAAAGAAGGGCTCTGATGGATATAATTAATAGTGGGCAGGGTGGAGGGCAGGTGATGGTGGTGCAGCAGGGATGGACCTCGCGGATAAACGATGGATGAATGATCAACTCGGGTTGATGCTTTGCCGTCTGAGCCAATCCGAGTTCGCATTCTGCATACGACGAGGCTGCCACTATTATTACTCGGTACTTTCTTTATCAACCTCCACGGGCGCAGTCAATACATTCCACTCTATCATTCAGCTGTCATTAATTATTTCCTTCCTGGACACTATTCTTAGACTTCTTGTCTCCAATTTCTTCATCCTCCAGAAGTCAACTACTTATCTACTATAGGTATCTTGTCGTACACACACCATTAATGAGGTTGCCCAGCTATTTTTTTCTATAATACAGGCCGCAAAATGTCAAGGCGAAGAAAAGCCCACGCAGCTGTCATCCATTTCACATCCCACTATGTCCCGTAAATACCCAGTTGCCGGGCTCTCAACTCTGGTTGATCATATTTCGGAAGTCATCATTCGTCTTCTTTCCACTTCCTTTCTCTCCATCAGTAATCGTGCTGTCCTTTTCATGTGGCGCATGTAATATACTCAACCGTTGACCTAGATGTCCCTTCTTTCGAACCCCTGGCTGCGCCGGACGTCTAATTGGACCACCGGCAGAGGTGACAGGAGCTGGAGCGGGGCGTCGAGCAAATTGATCTGTCTTGTGCTCCCGACTCTGCTGCAACATGTCCTTTTCCGTTGTGACTCGGATGTGGCGACCAGGATGGATTTCCAGGTTGTCGAGCTCTATCATGGCTCGGCCAGCATCCGGGATATTCTGAAACTCAATCAACGCGCCCTGATGGTTGGTCTTCAGGATCACCTTACGCACGGGACCAATCTTTTCCGCCACAGCCTTGATGCGACTCTCATTCACAATGTCAGGCACGTCGCAAATGACAACAGTCCGCTCCCGTCGTTCCTCAATGACGCTCTGGTCCACAGTCTTCGGTACACTGGAAGTATCAGAAGCTGCGTCCGGGTGCAGCGAGGGAGATTTCGATCTCCCGTTGACGCTTTTACCAGATCGGCCGTCACGTTCGGAAGCCATATTGACAGTAAGTTTCCTGCCCTGAAACTCCTCGCCATGCATGGCCAGAGCAGCCTGCGCCTCCTCCGAACTGGAGTACGTCAGAAAAGCAATACCTCGGTTCCGAGTGGCAATTTTCTGATCCTTGGGAAGTCGGAGATGCTCAATGGATCCATACTTGGAAAAGACCTTTCCAATATCTTCAGCAGTGGCCTTGAATTGTAGCTGACCCACGAAGATCGTCCTGCCATCACTGTCCCGCTCTTGTCTTGAGTGTCGTATCGCTGGGTTGGATATTTTGGCTACTAATTTCAACCCATCAATGTCTTTGTTGTCAAGCTCGGTCGCAGCCTGCGCGTCTGAAGGCCGCTTGAACTCGACATAGCAGAATCTGCGTTTCTTGTTGCGTTGGAGAGAAGGAAAGCGAACGCTAACAATCTCCCCGTACGGATGGAACAGATTGCGAACATATGATTCATCAGCGGCAGCAGGGTAATTGGTGACAAAGAGCGTGGATCCAGTGTTGAGAATGACAGAGAGCTCAGCACCTTCAAACTCGCGTCCATCTCGGGACAGAGCGAAAGAAGCCGCGTCGGCATCGTCAAACTCCACAATGACACTGTTTTCTTCGTCTTGTAAAATCTTGACCTGCTTGACAACACCGCAACTGCTGAAATACTGCCGAATTTTTGTCTCGGAGACGTTGGTTGGGATATTTTGCACCAGCACGCTAGCGTGTTCACGATCACGTTTCAGCTCTTCAGTGGAGGGCACATCGGGTTCAATCGATGGCTCTACGGCCTCTTCGTTTCGTCGTCTTTTCTTTCCCTCTTCGTCCTCCGACTCTTCGTCTCGCTTGCGTTTCCCAATGTGAAGACCATTGGCGACTTCCTCTGTCCGACTAGCTACTTCTTGTTCGGCTTGTTCTGTCTGCGCTGCGATCTCTGCTGCTTGAAGGGCCTCTTGTTGTCGCCGTGCGGTGAGTTCTTTCTGGACTTTCCGTACCAAGCTTATGGCGTTTTGCAGTTCGTCAGCATCTTCATAGTCCTCACAATGATTCAATAGCGCTTCCATGAGTGGCTCTGGATAGTCTAAGCCGGGATGAAGGAGCCCCTGTTTCAAGACCCCTACAGCAAATGGGGCAGAAGAAAGAGAATCTAACTGGTCGGGCCCTGGTCGTTGGAGCAAGGCGACATGCATGGATTTCTGCATTTCGAACTCGTAATAACGTAGCCAGAACTTGTAATATTTCCCGTAGTCTGCCACGGCATCGTTGAATTGTGCACCTGCATTGTCGAGCCGGCGCTGGGACTTGAGATATTCGACATATTTTCGCTGGAGGCGGAAGGACGGGTCAAATGCGCTTCCGATACCCAACTTCGAAGCAAGACTGTGCACTGCCTCGATAGACGACCGGATTCCCATTTCCGCGACATCGGCGTCTTCTTCAACAGCATCGGGACGTTTGGTCCGCCGCAACAGATAACCACACCACGCATCATGAACGACCAGAGCCTCCTCGATGCCTGCAGCGTCCAGAAGCCCAGTCCTGGTGGCTCTGTGCTTAATGTCCTCGGTTTCATGGAACGGCTGTTCTGCGAGTTCGGAGGACAACATGTACTGTTTCCACAGCGACCCTGACCACGGGCAGTGTTTTGTGGCTCGAGACAAGACGCCTAGCAAATCCGACGTCGGCTTTGACTTCTCGATCAAATAATCGACATGCTCTTCCCATATCGCAGGCACCGAAGGGAAGCGAAGTTCCGCACGTTGATAAAGAGCGTCGACCATGTCGAAGTATGGGTTTCGAAGCTCCTGCGTCTTTTTGCCCCTACCTTTCCGCTGTGTCTGTGGCCTGTTTTGCTCTGCACGCTCCCACTCGATGTATTTTGAGAATGCTTGGTATTCGAGAGCAGCATCAGCAGCGTTTTGAGTGTCCAGCAGAGTTGTCTCTAACGCGTCTCTGTCACTCCAAATCTTCTTTGCATTCGCAGAGTCCCTGAGGTTTGACGCCATGATTTCCTCGTACTGATCTGCCGGTATGTTGGCGGAGACAAAGCTCGAGAATGCCTGGAACGTCTGCTGCCATTCGGCATGTGGTATGCGCAAACGGGTTTCGAACAGTTCAAGAACGGAGGCGGCATCGGCTGAGGACAATTTTTGGGTGACATCACCAAATCGAACAGCCATGTACTTGTTCCAGACTTCATGGCTGCGGGTCATATCGTGCTTTGTTCGTTCCACGGCTTCAGTCCATGTGTCCAAGACAGTACTCATGTTGAAGACTTCGCGGCCATTTAAGCGTTCCGTATCAACGTCGCCCTGCGTGTCTCCAGTAGAGTCGAGAGCCCATTTGTGGCAGTACAAGACCCAGTCACCGTAAGTTAACCACAGTCGTGTGCTGCCGTATTCCTCCGTCACCGCCCGCCGACATTTATCCACGACAGCCCTTCGCTCGTCCGTCGTGTGTGCAAGAATGCTCTCATCCTGAAGCCAATCCAGCCACTGGTCCTCACCAACTGCAAAGAGCTTGTCCAAGTTCTCACGAGCACGCCGAAGGTCGGCGAGGAGGTCGTATTGTCGAGGATCCCCGTGAGCATTTGGGCTAGACGAGGGATATATGTGGTCGACAAAGCCTTGGTGCAAGATTTTGATGATCTCCTTGTGGGTTTCATACGAGGAGGGCGTTTCTTGAACATGCGCAGCCAGAACAGCCAGTCTTTGTTGGGCCTCGACGGGGAGAGAAGTGTCGGTGTAGTCTGCTCGTATAACCGTCTGCGGCGTCTCAACCATGTTGATGTCTATGGATGCGCGAGGGTTTGAAGTCGCCCCAGCTGATGTGAGGTGAGGGAAGAGACCCGATGATGATATTTGGCTGTCGGTTGAGTCACGGCTGGGTAGAGTGGGCTTTGAGGAATTGAAGTCTGCCAATGACTCCATAGTCGGCGTGGAATTTGATCGAGGCAAATGAGCAGATGCGGTACCAGCAGGCACGGGGCTGATAAGCGGCGATGAGTGCGGGATCTGCTGAGCAGGACTTCTGACATGGGCAGGAATGCTCGATGGTGTTTGAACAGAGCGACCTAAAGGTGAATTCACCAGGCCTGTAGTCCCCGATTGCGCTCTTTGAACATGCCTGAATGGCGACTGCGATTGTGATTGTGGTTGTGAATGCGAATTCGAGGTCGAATTCGAATGGCTCAGATTCAGACTCGGAGTGCCAGTTGACGGGGTGAGTGAATTGGCGCGACCATTGTCTGAGGGAGAAAGAAGAGAATTGATATCCATAGTCGCACGGTTACTGTCTCTTGGTTATCGAGTAACTTGATGTGATAAATGTGCCCGCTCCAACTCTTTCCAACTTGATGATTCCCCGACTCACTAAGGAGGCCATGCTCCTCTTTCAGTGAGGACCCGACAGACCTCCGATAAGAGAAGGCAGGACTTGTGTGGAGGGGCACGAAACAGGGACCGAGGTGGTTGAGATTTATGCGCGTTTGTGTAGACGAGGAAGCGGAGAGGCGTGGAACGAGGGTCTACCAAAGGGTACACGGGGTGCAGGCAAAGTAAAAAGTTAAGGAATGACGGAGGGTCAGAGAGCTAGGAAGCAGGAATATTTTGCTAAACCTCGAGTGCATGAGCTGGATGAAAACTCCGGTCGCTGAGAGGACAGGCAGAGGCTGCATGCGAAAGAGTTGCAGGCTGGGGCTTCGGGCTGGGGCCAGGCTCTTTTCCTTTGGCTAGGAGCTGTTGCCCTGGGGGGCTTCCAGACCGTTAGCTCCCCTGCTAGTGGCTATTTGATGGCCCAAGCGATCACTCGGGCTTACCAAACTCCAACCGCAAAATGCCGGGTACCGATTCCGGGCTTACGCCGGCCCTGGTGGTGCCCAACGCACGGTGACGTCCTCTGCCAAGGTGTAACGGTCCGGGGCGGATGGGTCTGAGGGGTTCACTGAGCCACAGGACAAGAAGGTACATAATACAGCGTGTGTCAAAGGTCAGTCTATACATCTGACCACCGTGATAGGCATTGATCGAAGCTGTGGCGCGCACACTGGGCGGTCACCTCATGCACAATCAAAGCTTCTATCCATTGGACCTTCGGCCTCTGTTTCCGATATCGTGTCGACTTATCCTTGCTCGTGCTTGTTGACCCTGCGACATCTGGAGCCTATGAACTGTTTCAAAGCAGATCCCTATTTTATGCTTTGTCCCTTCAAAGGCCAAGGTTGTCAGCCAGTAGAGAAGACGCATGCTTACCGTTAGTGCACTGTCAGTATACCCTCTTGCAGTGGCCCTATAGCGTGCAATCAATGTCGAGCACCAAGACTATCTAGCACATTGAGAGTCAACAAACCCTTCCAAATGCCTCAGAGCAAGATTTGAAGGTCTCTAGAAAAGACTCAATGCTGTTCACAATCCAAAGACTTGCGAGCAGGTTTGGTCGTTGATCCCTGACACACAATCGCTCTGCTTGATCGAACTTGGTTCTCCTTCTGTGCATCGGATTTCCGGGTAGATTTCGTTGAGATAACCATTAAACAACAACGGCAGCTGTCAAATGCCACTTCGGATTCCAACCAGTACCTAATGGCCGGGTTCGTGCTCAGGCCATAACAGTCTGCTTCGCCTTCTTGGGTGACGCTTCTCGTGTAGAAGTAGATACTTGGGGATCATGTCGCATGGGTTTTCTCTGGTATCATCAATGTCACAAGAATCAACTCTTCCATCCCCAAACATGGGAGATATTCATTCTTCTTGCGTGTCGCCCAACATGAAATTGGTTGTGGTGTAATCGCAGAGGCAGGCGAAAAGGCTCGTCCAGAAAAGGGGGGTGTGTTCGGATATGGGTTTACATTGTTCCGCTGCCAAGCACTTTTCAATAGCCTCCATCTGGAAAGTCTTCAAACCAATGTCGCTTGAATTGATTCGCATTGAAACAGCAGTTCCCAATATAACGGAGCTTGCTCTAAGCTCAAGCCCGTCATGATGCACACCCAGCAGATGTCTCTGCGACACATCTGCAGAGGCAAGTCCTCCGTTCCCTTTCATTCCTTATAACCCGAGTTACTGACTGCGTTTTAGCGTGTCGATCACGAACAGATCCTGCACCCCTGGTCGAGCTGTGTCGTCAAACGTCCGCTCTCCAGCTCTCAGCCAGCAGGTCGCTCCATACCTCCAGTGTTCGATATGCCTCTACAGAATCAAGCCCGCCTACAGCAAGACCATCTCCCGGCAAAACGACGGAACCCAGTGCGAAACCAATGACCCCGGTAGAAAGAATGAAGGCCGCAGCTCGAAGAGCCCAGGACAAATTGAGCGAGCAACGAAAAGACTACGAGGCAAACGCCACTCAAGGAGGTCTCGCTCCCTCCAGCGCTTTTGGTGGAGAATTGAAGCGCAAAGCCTTCCAACCGACCGGCCTCCTCGTCGAAGATGCCTTTGAGAAGCGAAATCCGTCAAACATGGAACAAGCTCTCAATCCGCGCCCCGGAGCCCGGTTACGATGGCAGCGCAAGATGGTCATCCGAGAAATCAGACATCGCGGCCGGCTCTCGAAGGAGGTGAAGATCGCCCGGACCGAGCGCAGCCACATGTCTCGATCGCATTTCTTCAAGACTTCGATGAAGAAGCTTGCGCCGCTCGCCCGCCAAATTGCCGGCAAATCCATTGACGAAGCGATTCTTCAGATGAGATTCTCGAACAAGAAAGTTGCCCAGGATGTCCGGCAGCACCTCATCCAAGCGCGGAACGAGGCCATCGTCGTCAAGGGCATGGGCCTGGGCCGCGCGGGATCTGAAAACCAAAACGTAGAGCTCCTGCAAGCAGACCCCAGCGAGACTCCACCACTCCCGCATCAGACACCATTAAAGACGTACAAAAAGGGCGTCGCCCCCGACCCCACCGACATGTACGTCGCCCAGGCGTGGACCAACCGCGGTCCCTACGGACGAGAACCGGACTACCGCGCCCGAGGACGCATGTACATCATGAGACCGCCACACACGGGCCTCACCGTGCTGTTGAAGGAAGAGAAGACGAGGACGAGAGAAAAGGCCGAGAAGGAGGCACGCCGGCTGAAGAAGAGACTGGGCAAGAACATGTGGGTGCATTTGCCCGATCGGCCCGTCACTACGCAGCGCCAGCATTTATTGTGGTAGAGAGAGAAAACAACTCTTGTATATGGCGAAGCAGCATTGGTTGTTTGTTCCTAGAACGGAAATCTGTATCAAATATCATTCCTCATTACTGAATACCCGAAGAAAATCCCGTCTGCTGCCCTCCCATGTCGGACTTGATACCTACAACGCCTTGATGTTGGTTATGGCGCACTATGGCTTTTCCCGTCCGAGCTTTGCGTAACAATCTCATCCTAGCATATCCAGGTGTTAATCCCAATCTCCGCTTCAATCAAAGACATCGACCGCATAGCGCTCGCCCCTCAACTTGTTCCACCACTTCAGGCCGTCTTCGTGCGACAAGTCCTTTCCTGCCTTCTTGGCGCCCTCGACGGCAATCTTTGCGGCGACGTCTGCAATGCCCTTGCCCAGTGCGGCATTGCCGCAAATGTACGCTTTGGCCCCCTCGCCAAACAGTTTGCTCAGCGTATCGCGCTCACGCCAGAGTCGGTCTTGTATGTATTTGCATCCCTCCGAGCGCTCGGGCTCGCGGCTGAATGCGTAGAACAGCTTGACGGCGCCCTGATCGGCCCATTCATCCAGCTGTTTGGCATGCAGGCGGTCTTTGTCATGGTAGCGGCAACCGATGAACAAGAGGGCCTCGCCAAAAGCATCGCGGTTTCCGCCAGCGGCGGCGATGCGAACGGCACGTTCCTGGACAAACCCCAAGAAGGGCGCCAGACCCGTGCCGGCACAGACCATGATGATGGGCGTTTTGGGGTCTAGCGGTAGATGGAAGCTCGCGTGTGATTTCTTGATCATCAACTGCGCTCGTGTGCCCGGCTGCAGGAGCTTGAGGTAGTTTGTTGCGACGCCCATGTGGTTCGTGTCAGCACCGACCACGGAGTATGTGATGCTGACTTTGGTCGGGTCATGCAGTGGCGAGGATGAGATAGAATACTGTCGAATGCGCATAGGTGGTAGCATAGCGAGGTAGAGAGCAAAGGGGAGCTCGATGCTCGGGTATTTCTCCAGGATTTCCAAGACCGACAAGGGCTCAGTGATGCCCAGGACCTCTTTGCGGACAGATTCATCTTTGGTGTACTTGCCGAGAGTTGCAATGTGTTTACGGCTGGCCGGATTGCTCAGTTCCACGTATGCAGCCAACACCCCCGTGATTGCAATGGGTGTTGCTGTTGGAATTGTGGTATGTGCACCTTTGGCCAGTGTCATGATGGCATCCCACGGCAACCCGAACCGGCGGAGCACCCTTGAGATTGTTTTCATGTTGTTGACTGGCAGTAGCGCAAGATAGTCTCCTGCTTCATACGTCATGTTGGTTGGTAACCGGAACTCGGTGTGTCGCTTCTCTGGAATGGAGGGATCGGTCAACAGCTCATTCTCCAGAACCAATGCATCCTGCACATTATGCCGGAGATGTGAAGCACGAGCGCTGGTGCTGATCTCCATGTTTAGAGCTTCCGCGATCTCGTCAGAAGCTCCATCGGCAGATAAAGCACGCCAGAGATTCTCATCTTGCCACACGTCAAAGTCGTCAAACACTTTGCCCTCGGCGACATCGGATTGTCCACGCTCCACGATTTGTTTTGCTCCTTTAGCGGTCAATTCGGAGTCAATTAGTTTGGGGATTTTCTGAAAAGTGGTGACCCAGTCGTGATGGCCACAGCCGAAGACAGCAAATTGCACGTTCTTGACCTTTTCAGCATCCACCGTCTTGAGCCATTCCACAAACCCTGCGGCATTGTCGGGAGGATTGCCCTCGTAGCTCGCGGTGATGATTATGACGGGTTGGTCGCTTGGTAGATGTTCCACAGCAGCATCCAGAGGCTTTACTGAGGCATTGAAGCCTCGATTTGCTGCGCTGTTGGCAAGACCCTGTGCCAGTCCTTCACAGGTGCCCGAGTTAGACCCGTAAAGTATGAGCATTGGCTTGCCCACGCCACCCACTTTCTTGGCCAACGCACTGCGTTCCTTGTGATGAGCGTCTTCGGTTTGGACACCTGCGTACAGTTTTCTCTCCAATGTCACTGGATCGATACCTTCACGCAGAGTGGCTCGTAAGAACAGGTTGTCTGGCTTCACGGTCAACGTCTGCTTGATTTGCAGCTGATACGATGGATCATCCAATCTGACGTTGAAGTTTTGGAGAATAAGAGCGATAGCCAGGATGGCTTCTTGCCATGCAAAAGGGCGCCCAATGCACCCACGAGCGCCGTTTCCGAATGGCTTGCATCCAGTTAGCAATATATTCGTTACTCGGTCGATAGATTCAAACTTACCTTCCAAGAGTTGGGTGGCAGCTTTGTAAAGTTCTCTCCATACATTCTTTCTGGCTTGAACTCCTCGGCATCCGCGCCATAGACGACCGGATCACGGTGGGCTTTTGTAAGGAGGGCGATGATGGGGGAACCCGGAGGAATGGTGTATTTCCCAGCAAGCACCACGGGTCCAGCCACTGTGTCCAGTGGTTTGAGGGCAAACGCAGGAGCTGTAGGGTTGAGTCGGAGGGTTTCTCTCATGACGGCCTCGATATAAGGTAATTTCGTCAGGTGCTGGACCGTCACCGGACCTTTGCCGACCACTGAATCGACTTCCTCTTGGGCTTTTCGCATGGCTTCAGGGTTCTTGCAAAGCTGGTAGAAGGCAAATGAAAGAAGCCCCGAGGTCGTTTCGTGTCCCGCAATGAGGAAAGTGATGATGTTGTTGATGATACTATCATCCGTCATCCTCTCTCCCGTTTTTGGGTCCTTGCCGAACAGCATCGCATTGAGCAAGTCCTTCTTATCGACCGGGTTTGCTCTGCGGTGATCGACCATCTCCTTGGCGACGGTCCTCATGGTGTCGATATCTTGATAGTACTGACGTTCGACTGATCTGTTGAGTAATGACCCAATTCTGGTGCGTTGAGTCCGGCGCCCGGACTCCAGCAAGAAACCCACCATTGCGTCCACGAAAGGGTGAAGCTTCTCCGAGTAGAAGGAATTGAAACGCTTATCCATGACACACAGGGCAATAGAGTCCAAGGTCAGTCGAGTAAAGTCATCCGTAGCTGCAATCTTCTGCTCAGGCCCACCACGCGCCCACTTTGCAATCAACTGGGTGCCAATATCGTACATCTCGTCGTCTACAAACATCAGCACTGTTTAGAGAAGCAGGAGAGAAGACCATACACATATCGTGAATACCGATCGGACCGAATGCAGGCACGAGAACTCGGTGAGCCACCTCCCAGTCATGTTCACCAGGGTAGGCAGTAAAGAGACCATTTCCTGCTCCATTTCGTACTTGTTGCAGTGCACCAGACACAGCCTTGCAGAAGCGCTTTTCATCGCAGACCTCATTGAGGAGTTCGACCGAGCTGATGACATATCTTTCAGTGCCCAGGGTGGTCAGTTTAAAGATGGGGCCTTCAAGACGTATGTTAGCACGATGATCAGTCTTCGTCTTAGCCAGCGGTTGGTTCCAAGGTACTCGCCATATTTGTCGGCCAAGTGCAGCAGACTCTGATTGGCATGGTTTGGGTCAATGTCCAGGACGTTTCCTAGAATCGGAAGTCCGGGAGGCGCAGGGATAGGCGTCGACATGTTGTCAATCTCTGAGATGGTCTGGGTAGCAGGGAAAGTGAGTGTTGTATCGGACCCAGGCAGATACAAGCTTGGACAAGGCCGAGAGGGAGACAACGGTATTTAAGCACGACGGAGGTCGATCGAGCTCAAGCTGAGCAGTCTGCAAGGATCGACTATTGACTTTCCGTCTTGGCCTCAGCCGTTGAGACCTTGTTCTGAACATCTGACGTTTTGCGGGAGTTGACATAATGAAGGAGACTGTCCGACATTCTGCAGTTGACTAAGGTGCAGCTACTTCCCTTCGCGGAAAGAGGATTCAGTGAGGCCGCGTTGATTGCTCTGAATTTCCTGCGGGACAACCATCAACGACGTGACACGAGCGATGCGCAGAATCGGATAAATCATCGGCCGTCAGTTGCATCACATCTCATTGTACCTAGGTAAACACAACACACAGCCTCCACAACACGAGTGAGGACGGTTTGAGGGTCTTCACGGGCCTATCGCATGTGTCCATCCATAATCCTTTCCCGCAACTTTGGCTGCGGCTGTCCCGATGCGAGCGAGACACCGGCCGATTGACGTATGATGTTCAAAGTACACAGGATTACTCTAGCAGCAAACTAAGCCGCTCTCGCAAGGTAGAAGCAAAAACAGGAAGGTCAAGTTGTCCCTCGCCCAGTTAGATAACGGGTTATTAATGGGTGGATTTAAAACACTCTGCATGGCATTGGTGCTAATTGAAACTCCAGATTCTTGAATCCGTTTCTGGCTCTGCGTATCTCGTATCCATCGGGAAGTGGCCGCTTTTAAAGCCTCCCGCCAATCCCTGCCTGATTGGGCACAGACTCCCCGGAATTCGGCGTCCAACCACATCTGAATATCACATGCCTTGGGCTGCAAATCAAAAGCGGCGCCACGCCAGGGCCGTTCTCAATGCCTATCTCCGCATCTTGATTCATTCACATGTTCTCGACTTCGGTTGGTTTCCTCCGGCACCGCTTCCTTGTGGTCACCTTGTTTCACGGCAAATACCGTCAAATGCTCGAACACCGCCTCCAAGCAACGATGGTACCGACACTAACTCGTTCTCTATATTACAGCTGGTTGCGAACAGCTTTCTAGGGATCCCGTGTATATTCCCCAACAGACGCAACGCCCGAGGTCACAACAACAAATATTTTGCAGTCAAGGCGACATCCCAGATCCAATCCCGCCAGCGCGAAGGATACTCAGCAACAACATCTTCCGACATTGTTCAATATCTAGCGTCTCCCGATCATTTTTGACCCGGGTTAGCCATGATCTGGAATCAGTTCGTATCCTCCCTCACTCGGCAGTGTTACTGCTGCCAAGGTAATAGCAACCGCACATAATGCTTCAAAGCTCCATGAAATCGTACACATGGTCCAACTCTTGTCGAGATACCAGCCGGAAAAAAATCGCTCGTCGTTCTCGTACAGATATGCCTGTTGTGGTGATTAGTTGCAGGTTGCGCCATGGAGCGAGACATTTCTCACCATCAACGCCATTCCAATGGCCTGGACAAACGCTGCCAATGCCACCAATATTGTCAAGACGCCCCAGCCTTGTTCTCTTTTCTGCTTCCCACCCACAAGCAGGACGGCAAATGCGGCCAGTGTCATGCCCTCCAGCACCACTGCAAAGGACATTAAAAAGCCTACCGATCTCCACATGCTGCAAAAGTATCGGTCATCCCCCCGGCAGTCTTCGTACCGGGGAAATTGTGTGCAATGCCATTTGGAGGCGGAAGTGTATGTGATATTTGAAGGAGGGAGGTTTGTATTTGAACATCTTCGATGTAGGCCGTAGCTATATCGTATCGAGGTTCCGTGATTCTGTTTACCAGTGAGACACAACCTTGTACCCAGGCACATCCACTCACTGTGCTCCCATCGAACGCTATCCAGTCGGGGATAGCGATTGATGCTATCGTCATTCCTGACGCTAACTCAATGGTCAGTTGCATCACACTTGGGATCAATGGATTGAGATGCGCATGCCTGCAAGGAAGACGAAAAGAGCTCCAGAGAAGACGATGCTCCTTGTCAGCATGCCAGTGTAGTTACTGCCATGCCCACTGGGCACGAGTGTAAAGTCCGCCATCCTCCCCTGTCCTGCCACCAAAAGGAGTGTATGCCAGCTCTTGCTTGCAGACTATGGTAGTCCGGATAGAAGTGCCGACCGACTCTGGAAGTAGGACTCGACGAAGAGGCGAATGGCTGTCAATCTCGGAGAATCTGTCAGAGTTTGGTACTGCGAGTGCGATGGGGGGAAGAATGAGGTCAATCGGTCGTTGCTAAAGTTGGTATTGATGAGCTCGATTGAGATAGCAATCGCATTGATGTCGGTGAAGGGCCAGATGCGCAAAACTGTGGAGATGAAGAACGACCCTCAATCCGCAGACATCAAAATGCGGCTTGCTAGAGACAAAACAATGCAATGAAGAACAACAATGTCAGATTCGACGGGTGTCCGCGATCCAGATTTGTGTTGCAGAACGAATAAGATGTTGCAGGCATCCTCTTTACCACCAACTCCACTCGAGGCTCGAGGGAGCGAACCTGAGGGGACAGTAGTGGTAGTCCATCTCCGCCAAGCAATGACGACAGGTTCAGTTGACCACAGAAACAACGCTGCGCATAATAATATCCCCTTTCTACTTGTAGTATCCCCTTACTAGAGGCTAGAGGACGTCTATTCTACTCTGCTGCGATTCTTACGGTCTCAGCGATGCTCACAGAATGCCTTGATGTATTGTGGTGGTTTGGTCAGCGTCGCTGTCTTGCCCTTTAGATGTTCACCGGCTCCTGTTTCCAGCCAATGCGGGCTTTTCTCCAGGTGACACAGAAGCCAACCATCCAAACATCCTTATCAGCACCCACGAGCCGAGAGCGTTTGGAGTCGCTTCGGGTCGATGTTTATAACTGTAAAATGAGGTTTTAAGTCTTCCTTGCAGTCTGCCCTGGCTATATTATTCGCTAAAATACCAGGACTATCACTTCTTGCGATGATCTATCCAACGATTGTCGACATATTCGTTGACCTCGTTGATTCTGCCTACGCTGCACTCGCCGTCAAATACTCTCGAAAATCCTCTCGCAGTATATTCGTTCCCTGTTAGGCATCAGCATGGCGATCATACGCTCATAAAATCATACCTCACTCACCTGCGCCATCTGCCGAGCCAATTCCTCATCTTCTTCCATCTTCTTACAAAGTTCCCAGAACTCTTGTCTCTCCGACTCGGCCTCGTCTAGACAAACGCGTCGGAAATTGGCTCGTGACATGGGATCGATGATCTCGGCCCATTTCTTGCGCCGGACTTCACTATACTTGTCGAGAATGCTATCGTCTGCTTTTCCGTCCTTCAACGCCACGAGAGCATCGAACAAGCTCCCTACGTCAGCGATTCCCCCAGTTAGGCCCAATCCACCGCTTCAACCGACTCGTCAGCTTGAATCGTTTGCTTAGCCAGAGGACTTACAATGGGTTGCATAGATGAGCAGCGTCGGCGGCGAGCAAGAATCTTCCTACCCGAAAAGACTCGGCGCATCGTTGATGTAGCTTGTAGGGACTGGCGCTGACGAGCTTATAATCTCCCGGTTTCGGATGTCCAGGCAGGATTTTCTCGTACCGCTCGGGTTGTCTTGCAAGGTACTCTTCGTTCGACAGGCCCCATACGTCGCCATACGTTACCCTCCACAGTCCATCTTGGGTGATTCGGGCCGCCATGTACCAGTCGTTTTCGTCGATGATGAAATTCGAGTCCCAGTACCCGAATTTATGGAAGTCGTAATATACCTTTAAGGGATGTCAGTCTCTTGCGTTTTGTCCAGTTTGATGAACTCACATTGGTGGCAATGATCTGTTTCTGTAGGGTCTCCCCGGGATAATTCAGATCACCGAAAAGCGAGCGCCTGATCTGGCTGTTTGCCCCATCACATCCGACGATATAGTCGGCGCCAAACGTCTTCTTCCCCTCCGCAGATTCGACGTGGACCCTGGCCTCGTTGTCGTCCTGTTCGATGGAGACGACTTTATGGTTCCACAAAACTTCGGTATCTGGTTGGGCCAGAAAATGTTGCAGGAGGAGGACATCGAGCTGATCCAGAGGCAGGCAAACCATGGGGAATTCTATGTCGAACCGACTTCGAATGCCCGCGATAAAGGTGCCGTCAGGATGGCGCCAGCACACCGCATCGGGATGGATGCCTTGAGCCTTGACGTCGTCGAGAACTCCCGCTCGATGCAGTTCGTACACTGCCGACGGGGCATAGTGAGCCGCCCTGGGATTCTTGTCCAGTTCTCCGGCCGCCTCGAGGATCTGAACTTTGACCCCCTGCTTAGCGAGCAGGATACCCAGTAGCAAGCCCGAGGGGCCGGCGCCGACGATGATGACCTGGATATGTATGCGACTCGTCAGCCGGATGAATGCAGGCAGGGAGACAGGCCAGCCCTGCCACTTGAGTGGTTAACCCACCTTGTTGACCGGGGTTTGCTTTCCCATGGTACCGAGCTTTTTTTGTAGAGAGATGACTTTACCACCGTCCCAGCGCGCCTATTTGTGATATTCGTAGTATTCGTGATGATTTTCTACCACTTCTCCAAAGAATCTGGGAAATGAATACCCTATGTATATCGTATTTCTTTCCTGGTGTTCCACTCTTATCCTTCGTTATTTATTGCTCTCAGGTGTTTTTGGGGCAACTGGTGGGACCACCGCCGAGGCTGTAACTCGAAAGAAAAGCCCCACGAAAGAACTATTACTGTTGCCTTGCAGGAGGAGGAGAAGAAGACTCGAAAAGGTTTGGCGGGTCACTAATTGGTCATACGAGTAGATTCCTCTAGAAACATACCAGAGTCAAGACCAAGAGGAGATACCTTCGGGGTCAAGTGTCAGAGTCCAGGGTAATCTAACATGTTTGAGGGTGGGATCTCAGGAGACGGGTTTGTGTCAAGGACCCGGCAATACAAGTATTCCCCTCGCCGTGTCTTTTTACATACCTAGGTACACGACCCCGTTCACAGACAGCAGTGAGTGAGGTTCCCCATGTGTTGTGTAGTTGTTGCGTCGTGTGGGGTTTAAGTTCCCCCTCCACAGAGGATGAAATAGGAAAATAGGGGACGTCCAATGAATCATGAAATGAATTATGTGGGGTGAGGGTTCTGTCTATCACTTGTTCGTCCCGAGCCAAGGATGGATGGATGGATGAATGAATGATGGAGTCTATCCTCTCCTATGCTTTCCTTACCCCAACTCAACTCAACCACTTTATGCAGAGCAGCCACAACAGCCAGCAAGAGACGAAAGGAGGAAAAGTCTGCGAGGACTTAAGTTACTCAGTCAGTACTTTGTGGCCACGGCAGCTCTTCCCTCTCTCTCAATCAATGCCGCGTGTTGAGGACTTCGAACTCTGATCGAGACGTCAAACGGCGCGAATCGATGTTCTCCCCAATTGACCTGGAACGAGTCGATTGGCTTTCCCTGGAAGTTTTGATTAGTTTCGTTCGCAGACGCGGGAGAAATCATAGAGGTAGTGGGAGGTGGTTAGTTAGAGAGTGCTCTCGGGGATGAAGATAGAAACTCACTGGAACGGCCTCGAAGTCGAAGCAGTAGAGGAGTCGTGCCACCACGATCCAGACATTTGTCTCTCCAACATTGTATCCCGAACATACACGCCGACCTGGATGAAACCGCCGAACGGGTGATTGATTAGTATCACCTCTGTAGATTCCCTGCAAGATTGCCAGAAGGAGAAGAAACAGAATGTTCAACATACCTGGTCCAAAGCTCCAGTGCCCCTTCAAAATATGGTCCAGGTTGTTGTTGAGGAATCGCTCAGGCCAGAACCGCTCCGGTTGCTCGTACTCGCGCGGATCCATCGCAATGGCTGTAGCGTTCCACGTGAACAATGTCCCCGCGGGGAACCGGTAGCCTTCGTACTCGTCGTCCTGGATGAGCATGTGCGGCACTCCAATCTCGGCGAACGGGCGCCATCGGAACGCCTCTTTTACCGTCGCCGTGATGTAGGGCAGGTCGACCCGGTCCTCGAAAGTTGGTAGGCGTTCGGCATTCCTCCCGCAGACTCGGTCGAGGGCTTCCCGCGCGGTGTCGACCCATCGCTTGTCGAGGACCGCGGCGGCCATGACCTGGCTGATGGTCATGCGAGAGGTATCGCTCCCAGCCTCCATCAGAGACCCTAGTGCAAAGTACGTCTGCGTCTGCCCGTAGTTCTTGGTCTCGGGGTCGCGGAGAAACCTCGTGGCGAAGCAATCCCTCGCGGTGCCGTTTTTCATCTTCTGCTCCAATTCCTCGACCTCCCGCCTGTAGATGCTGTAAACCCGGTCAGTTGCAGCCTTGAATGATACTTTTGGACCAGCTTACTTGACAGTCTTTTGAAACATGGCCTCCCCTCTCGGCCGCCACCATTGCAAGCTCTTGGGAAGTCTTTCCAGGAAGGTTAGGGAGTCGACGAGATTGGCCGAAGGCTGAATCGCCTCAATGACGGCGTTGGATGTCTCAAAGAGTTCTCGTATCTTGGGATCTTCCAGCTCCATGCGCTTGCCAAATACCACGCTCATGATGACCGAATTGGCGAAACGCTGGGTGGCCGAGTACCACAACTCCGGATGGTGGAGAAAGTCGTACAGGAGATGCTTGGATTCTATGTCTTGGAAGGGTGCGAAGACGGGCGAGTTTTGCTTGTTGAGGATCGAGTGCATGATGCGTCGGATCATCCGCCACCGTTCCCCGTATGGCATGAGCAGGACTCGATTGTCGCCCGAGAGAACGCCCGACGCCATGGGCATGTATTGACGCGAAGAATAGATGGACGACCGCTTCTCCATCAAATCGTTGACGGTGCGTGACGAATTCAGAAAGACCCATGTCTTACCACCAATACTACAAGTGAACCTGACCACAGTTCAGCCTTGTCAGATATTCCTCGTTGGGGTCCGATTACTTACATCTCCCCGTATTTCTTTGCCATTTCCATGCCCCATAGTCCCTGCTTCAAAGGAGGTAGTTGAAAAGTGTTGCCGAAGATCGGTACCCCCGGTATCCGAGGCGGAAATCTGTATTTTCGAGCCTTGACATGTTCATTCAATCTCCAGGTTGCAACAAGGACCAGGGTACCCAGTAAAGCAATCCCAAAGACGGGATGCTGCGCACAAAACGACCAAAGCGGCCATTCACCCATGTTGATGTCGTGCAGCACAGGAAGCGAGATAATGCCGCCGCTCGCAGAAGGTCTTCAGCGCCTACAAGCTCATCACCTCGAAATCTCTTCATATATGAACTTCCACCCAAGGTCCACCATCTCAAAAGAGGGCTCAGGTTCGACGCGTCCAACTCGCTGCACAGCCTGACGGTGGGGCTTGTCCGTCTCCCAGAAGCAGATGGTTTGGGGAAGATTGGCGGTGTTGGCATTTCCCCAATTCAACGCAGATTCTGGTCATCGGTGATGGTGATCGAGAGAACTCTGCTGGAGCGGAAGCCGACGATTCTTCTGGGTGAATGACGCCGCAGATCGCACTTTCGTTTAGGCTCTCAGCCCTGCAAGCGAGGTGCTTTTCGACGAGGAGCAACAGCGCATTCTGCGCGCTCATGGGGTCATGCTCGACCTTTACCCCACATATTGTGATGCGAGCAGACAAGTGGCGACAAATTGATTGGGGCATGTTGCATGGTTGCGTTGGTGCTTCGTGAGATTGGACACCAGGGAGGAATTGCAGAAGATGGTAGGTTTCGTGGTGCTTGAACGGACGATGATTCCTCGCTGATACCAAGACGCAGACGCAGTTGGTGCCCCTTTTCGGAGATCGGCCGCGGAACAGGAAATCTGCCCTCGTCGGAAATGTCAACCTCGTTGTCCATCATCAAATTCGATCTTGATCAATCAACCATTCAACTCCATCCCTTCAAGGACAGGTCAAGAGGTGAGTGGCGTCGTGATTTATGAGAGAATACCTACTGATATTGCAGGTTAAAGTGAACCGCGAGTACTTTCGCGCTTCCGATGCCGACGAGGCAACATCACTCAATGGCCTAGTTCACAAAACATCGAACAGACAGTACCCTCTTGACGCTCTGACGACTTGCTGTACTTGTTGACGATGGACTCGGGCCGTCTATCTGCAATGGAGTAACTAGATGAGCCTGGGTCATCTGCAAAACCCCTCCACGGCCACTAAAGGATTGGACGGCTTCTTGATATTATGACTTCCTGCCGCCCTTCACAACGTCGTTGGGTAACCATTGAAGAGCTCCACTGCCCAGTATGATCGATACCCTCAGCCGAGAAGATGCAAGGTCTGCCCAAAGGGACATTACCGTTGAAATCAAGGCAAGGCGACCGACAAGGTGTGCTTGAATCTCCTCCGACTCAGTCTCCACCTACAGACTTCGAAAGCTTGCAGCCTTGTTCTGCACCAGAGAGTCGTCTTGACTCCTTCGTTGCGAGATATAAGCTGCGCCCACTCAACCACTGCTCCAGGTGAAGCTAAGCAAGATGTTCGGTTATTGCCTCAGATCCTGCAGAGTCAATTTTACACCCAGAAACGACAGAGTGCTTGCATAAATCAATCTACGACATGGTCTGACTGGCGACTCGCTAACACGACTAAATCATATGAACCGAATCTTCGATGCCCTTATCAGCATCAAAACTCGATAACACCGCCGCACTTTTAAGGTGGAATGACCATACAGTCCGTTTTAGCCGTGGAAAACAGCCTGCGAAGACAGTGTCACCGCTTTCTCTATGCACTCAGATCATCTTTCATCTTGCATGGTCAGTGAGGACCTTGGCCTGAACCTCGAATACTCCGGCAACTCGGATGCCATCGGCAAATAATGTGGCCTTTTCCCAAGATTCTGCCATTTACCCATCGTCCTCGTTGCTCTTTGAAGTCATCTAACTCCACGAACGCTTCATTTTGCCATTACACCGACTTCTGCAAGGGTTGGATCCTACGGCATTATTAATGGGCTGCAGCAAATTGGCTAAAAACTCCGATTGCGGAGAAAATGAATACAGCAGAAACTCCCACGAGTCCCCAGGATTTCCGGTTTATATGACCGGTTGTCGTCATATTTCTGCAACATTGTATGCATGCAAGCGAGAGGAAGGATGGACTTGAGCGACAGTGACAGGTTAGCATGCGTGACAGCTGGTGGCAGGTCGGAGAATGGCCGCCGGGTAAATGCTACCGATGAAAACACCCCGGGTAAAAGACGATCTGGTGCCTTTACGATCTGTACGGGGTGATGTGTGCGGGGAGACGAAAAAGTACATATGTTGTACCTGCATTGGACCTTGCTTGGCCAGATGATCGTCGACAAGATCAAGGAGCAAAAATGAGGAACCTCGTCGTCACTGTCTTTGCCGCTGGCGCCTCTGCCTGGACCTACGCCCCAAACATCACCTACTCGGCGGCAATCTCGATCAATGCACTCCAGACGTATCAGACGATGATAGGAGGTGGATGTTCAGGCGCATTTGGTATCGCATGTCACCAATTTGGGTCTGTGGGACTGTCTCCGGCCAACCAGGAAATTGTCACCCAGATCCTCTTTGACGAGAACATTGGAGGATTGTCGATTGTTCGCAATGACATCGGCTCAACTCCAGGCCATGTCCCTGGCGACGTCGCATCCATCCTGCCAGTTTGTCCGCCGACGCCAGAAGGACCGTTCAACTATGTCTGGGACAGAAATGACACATGTCAGCTGCAACTCACACAGACGGCGCTCAAGTACAACCCCAACGTCTATGTATATGCCGATGCATGGTCAGCTCCTGGATGTATGAAGACGGTTGGCACCGAGGACGAAGGCGGTCTCATCTGCGGTGTTAGAGGCAGCACCAACTGCAGCGGCGATTGGAGACAAGCATATGCCGATTATTTGGTGCAATACGTCAAATTCTACGAGCAGGAAGGTATCGAAGTCTCGTTGCTTGGTGCCTACAATGAACCGGACTTCAACCCCGTCACTTACGCCTCTATGGAGTCGGACGGCTACCAGGCAAAGGACTTTCTGGAGTTCTTGTATCCGACAGCAAAGGCGGCGTTTCCTAACATCAGTGTTTCGTGTTGTGATGCGACGGGTGCCCGACAGGAGAGAAATATTTTGTATGAACTGCAACAGGCTGGCGGAGCTGACCTGTTCGATGTTGCCGTAAGTTCCTACCCACATGTGGTCAAGGGAGAAAAACTGATGGACCCAGACATGGCACAACTACCAGAGCAATCCAGAAAGACCGTTCAACTCGAACGGAAAGCCAAATTTGATGACCGAGTGGGCTGATGTAAGGAAAGGCGAGATCATTCTAGTCGAAACCCAAGTCTGACTGACCTTTGCAGGGTTCGGGACCATGGAATGCCAACTGGGATGTATCTGGACAACTCGCGTAAGTTGAAACTCTTGTCAGAATTCTCCCGTTGAATCCCTATTGACTTTGTGTGAAAAGCGAGGGATTCCAATGGGCAATGTACATGCACAACGCCTTTGTCAACTCCGACACGTCGGGCTACACGCATTGGTGGTGCGCGCAGAACACGACCAACGACAACGCGCTGATCCGGCTCAACCACGACAGCTACTTCGTATCGGCGCGACTGTGGGCATTTGCATCGTATTTCCGCTTCGCCCGCCCAGGCTCCGTGCGCGTCGGGGCGACGAGCAGCGCCGAAAATGTCTATGTCAGTGCGTACGTCAACACGAACGGCACCGTGGCCATCCCGGTCATCAACGAGGCCCACTTCCCCTACCAGCTGACCATCGACCTGAGCGGCGTCAACGCTTCCACGGCCACGGCGTATCTGACCGACAACGACCACAATGTCACCATGGTGGGACAGACGCAGATTGGCGGCGCCGTGTTCGAGGCGACGATAGAGCCGCGGGCCGTCAAGACGTTTTTCCTGAGCTAGAAACAGGCCTCTTCCACGACGGGGTCGGTCATGAAATGAACGGGCACAAGAGAGTAAATGTGGAGCTAGCAGTTACAGGAAGTGGTGTTAGTAGTAGTAAAAGTGGTATTTGATGGTCACAGTCACGCCTATTGTAAATACTCACTATCCTTTGGTATATATACCTAAAGTACGTCTGAAATATCTATATCCACGACAAACCGTGCGTGATAAGCGTTATAAGCTTAGCTACATTGCAAATATAAATCCAAATAGTTCAAAGGCTTTGAGCTCTAGAACATTAGGTTTCCTTGAATGATTTGGTCCCTCGACCCTCAACCCCCTGGATGAGCGCAGCCTCGCCAGGTCTTGGGTCAGCAACTTGCCGAGTACAAGTACAAGCACGTGTCATGTATGTAGGTACCTAAGTACCTAAGTTCCGATTCTCCTTTCCAGCGAGCCAGACAAGGAAAGACACTACTGGATCCAAGCACTCGCATTATCGATAGAGCATTACATGTATTCTCGTCCCAAAAATGGGCCTGCCACTAATCACGTATACTTGTATAGCGATTTTCGTGTCGTGCCGTGCGTGCTTTTGGGATCGTCAGATATCTATTAGATGACCCTTCACTCCGGAAGAACGGTTGAAATTCAATTCAATGTAGGTATTGCGTACAGAATCGAAGCACTTCCACTTGTGTAACCACGACCACCACGACTGTAGTGCCATTTACAACTTACAGCACGCATCTCGGCTTCCGCCACCTCCACTTCCGTTTGTCAACACGGAGGCTTCATTCTTCGTTGACGGGACGTCGATCGCTGGGTTCTCGGTGAAGAAATCAGTGGGCTTGATGTGGAGTTGGTGGATTTCGACCGGCCTGTTACGTTTCGAAACGTCAGTTAGAAATGTCCCTCTGGTATCGTCGATGGGAGGGGAGAGAAAGAAAATGCGATCCACAAACTTACATGACAGGCCAGTCCTCAACTCGAGGGTTATGCGTGAGTCCAAACACGTTCCACACGACGACATCTTCGTCCTCGACCGGCTCATCGCGCTTGACAGCGTCAGCGACACCTCCGATTTCGTTTTGACTCTGCAGCGTATATCTGCCACCAGCGTAAAACTCGCCGTCGAGGTGTTTGGTCACCCAGACGTGGTGTTGTGCGAACAGTGCTCGTTTAGATTGGACGGAATCCGGGTCCGCGAGCAGCAATTGTGTCGCCGCTGGTGTGAATTTGTACCCGACCGGTTTCCCACTTATCGGATTAGTCTTGCTCT